TTTGATGACCAAATGGCTGAAGATATAATGCAAAATAAAATAATTGGTAGAAAAAATTATTAGTCTTCACCATCTTGAGCATATAAAAATGAACTCTTAGTCAGTCATCAGGGGTGCCCAAATCCTGGGCCACGGCCTATTCAGGACTGGACTGTGTGAGAGGCAGACCAGGGCATGTGGCACATGGCTCCACTCACACAAGTGTACAGCTCCACTTGCATGAGGGGCAGGCATGTGGTCAGGGCTGCTGCTCACATGAGTGGAGCTGCGCATGTGTTTATCGGCCTTATCTAAATGACCTGATCTCCCCAAAACAAAGAATAACTTTCTTCAGAGCCAGATTTAATATTCTTCCTTCAGCACTCCTCCAGGGCAGGTATAAGAAAACACCTATAGCAGAACGCNTTCGGGTGTGCACACGCTTTGGGCATTCGGTCCGGAAAAGGTTAGCCATCGCTGCTATAGCCTGATGCCACTGGCAAACCTAATATTCTTTCCATTATTTATACTCGAGATTCATTGTCAAAGATGAACCAGTTATCTCTGATCACGGAAATTTACAGAAACAGTAATCTGGAGGTGGATAATGCAGCAAATACAAGGTTACTGCAATTTCAGAAAAAGCTAGGGGAAAAAGCCAGGCTTTTTACTGCAGGCAGAAGCAGCTGAAATTCTGGTTTCAGCACTCCCCGCAACCATTATCTCTTTAAATGTAAACATCCATAAAGCTGTCAGTATTAGACAACAAATGGCTAAATAATACATCTGATCAGCAAGCGGAGCGCTGCATTTCCTCTTGCATATCTGCGGTTGTGATCCTGGCTAGGAAAATCAATAGGCTCTGATTTTGCTTTTCAGCTGCTGGTTATGATTCTCGGGTGTAACATAAGCAAAAGGAGAAAGCTTTAGGAAACAAAAAAGCCATGCTTAAGCGGAAAAACGAAAAACTCAAAAAAACCTTGCCTGGCGACAGCATCTATTATTCAAGCGCCACATAATGTAGCTTAAACGAGGCAGGAACTGAATTGTAAGAAAATGGTTAACACCTGAACAGGAAACAAAAAAAAAAAGCCTCAAAAGAAAAAAAAAATATTACCCAATGAGATTCTTGAAATGTTATGAGCGGCTAAGTTTATGCCAATTATGTAAGTAGTATAAGAATGTTGATGCATTCATTTCTCGCCATAGACATGGAGCATCAGCTTAGTCCTTCAGCCAGGCAACCAATTTTATTCTTTTCCTTGGCTCTGCATTTTTAAAAGGGAAAGAGAACAAAATTTCTCTCCCCCTTCCTGGCGCAACTTGAGAATGGAGAATGTATAAAGCAGTAACCCATAAAAGAATTATGGGCAATCTACATTATCTGCCGCAATATGTCTGTGTGTGTGTGTGTGTGTGTGTGTGTGTGTATGTATATATTTATGTATATATTTATGTATATATATGTGTGTGTGTAAATAA